TGATTGATTGATTGACATTTGTTTGTGGTCGATCGAAAGTAAAATCAATTTTCAAAAAATTTCAACTTTTTGAGAAGAAAATAAAGCCAAAATCCTCCCAAAAAAAATCCATATCCAAATCAATTATGGCGAAGAAGGCAGTGCTGATCGGGTGCAACTATCCGGGAACAAAGGCGGAGCTGAAAGGATGCATCAACGATGTGCGAAGAATGTACAAGTGCTTGATCGAACGTTACGGATTCTCAGAGGACGATATTGCGGTGCTCATAGATACAGATGATTCTCACGCGCAGCCTACAGGCCGGAATATTCGCAAGGCACTTGCCAATCTGGTACGATCCGCCGAGACCGGCGACTATCTGTTTGTTCACTATAGTGGACATGGCACCCGCCTTCCGGCGGAGACCGGCGAGGATGATGATACTGGCTATGATGAGTGCATTGTTCCTACTGATATGAATCTAATCACCGGTAGGCACCCTATCTCTCGCTTACTCTAACGATTTAATGATATGTGTACGTGTTTATACAATTACATGTGCTTCGTGTTAAAAATTATTGTTTTATGTGAAATTGTTCTGGGGATGCGGTAGATGGATCAAGATCTAAATTTGATGACTTTGAATTTCTGATCATGATGCAAGATCAAGGTACAGGCTATGAGTAACGAAGATTGTTTTCTACTGACGCGTCTCGACTCTCAGATTGTGTGTTTATAGGAATTGCCTTGCTTAGGAAATTAGCTACGGCACTGGCCTGGCCAAAAGTCTAGACCAAAAGTTTCTAAGGATATAATTGCTTTGAATATTTCATTCGATGACTTGAATTAAGGAGCGAAAAAGGATTATACTGGTCCAAATTTGATTGGACAATCCAGTGATTTGGGACTATCTCCCCCTAGATAACTACATTGACATTCTAATTTCTAATAGTTTGCTTCGAACTCTGTAAGATCTTAAACCTGTCACAATGCTTGTAGATAGGAGGCATTTAGTCTAATAAGAATAAATTAAAATAGAGAATTTTTTATGTTTGGGCTCATTGTTGGAGAATGTTTGGCGTTCAGATGATGATTTCAGAGAGCTAGTAGACCAAGTTCCCGAGGGTTGCTGCATCACAATCGTTTCTGATTCTTGTCACAGCGGAGGCCTTATCGATGAGGCCAAGGAGCAGATTGGAGAAAGCACCAGGGGAGATGATGATGACAGCCATGGATCTGGTTTTGGATTCAAAAACTTCTTGAAACGCAGCGTTGAAGATGCTATCGAATCCCGTGGTATTCACATATCTGAATTGGGATTTGGCCATCCGCGTCAGCACCGGGATGAGGATGCTGGGGAAGAATTGACAGAAGGAGGTCAACGGCTAGGCTATATGAAGAACAAATCCTTGCCACTCTCAATTCTCATTGAGATACTCAAGCAAAAAACTGGAAAGGATGATATTGATGTTGGCAAGATAAGGCCGACCCTATTTGATGCCTTTGGAGAAGATGCTAGTCCTAAGGTGAAGAAATTCATGAATGTCATTATGAGCAAACTCCAGCATCGTGGTGAAGGAGATAGCGGGAGTGGTGGACTTTTGGGGATGGTTGGAAGTTTGGCCCAGCAGTTTCTGCAGCAGAAGCTTGAAGAAAATGACGAGAACTATGCAAAACCCGCCTTGGAAACACGTGTTGGGAGCAAACAGGAGGCCTATGCTGGTTCAACCAAACGAGCACTCCCAAGTAGCGGGATTCTGATCAGCGGCTGCCAAACAGACGAAACATCTGCCGATGCTAGCCCGTCTGGGAATGCCAGGGAAGCTTATGGTGCTCTTAGCAATGCAATTCAGACAATAATTGCAGAATCAGATGGCCAAGTGAGTAACCAAGAGCTTGTTCTCAAGGCAAGGAAGATGTTGAAGAGACAGGGTTTCACGCAGCGTCCAGGACTCTATTGCTGTGATCAACATGTTGATGCTCCTTTTGTTCGCTAATAAGGCTCTCCTTGATGAGTTTCGAACATGCTGTGTGTTTCTTAGAATAATTCAATGCTGCAAATTCAGTTGTAAGAACTTTGCTAAATATTTTGTTGTGTTTTTGTATGGAGTGCTAATGTTGGTTTGGTGCTTTCTATTGTGCTCATGTACGATGAATATTTGGGCAAAATTGCATTATTAACATTCGGCCATATATTAGTGGACTAAACGAATCTTTCCAGCTATTCCATCTGGTTAATTGCTAGAACTACAAAAAACATGTGCTTGAAAACAAACTTAAATTTTGCATTTTCAACTATATTATGAATTGTGTGTTACAAGCTCCTCGCATCAAACTAAGTCCACTTGAATATAACTCGTTTCCTATACAATTATCTTATGGTTTACAAATAATTATATGCCCAAAAATGGGGCCCGAAAAATTAAATTTCCACTATAGTATCCAGGTCAGGATCATGAATTTCAAGAATAATCGTGTTTTCCATTGTGATGCTGAGGCAACGTTTTTCAGTTTAACTCCATAGTGCGGACCAACTTTGCTGCATCTTGAATGCGTAGAGCAGAAAATTGCAGACGGACGGCCCTTCTGAAGGAAATTTACAAAACAAAACTTCAGTGTTCCTATCATTGGTCGATGTCTTGGGCCCAAGCCAAATCTGCCAATGAAAATTTTTTTATCACTAAAAGTACATACGAAATAGTGCAGTATAATAAATTTAAAGTATGGTAATAATCTTCCAATAGAATATCTTTAGGTCCATAGTATAGTTATTAAACAAGAGAACGAGAATTAAACCTTGAAGCACTGATTCAACTGCTGCATTTGGAATAAGCAACCCAACGATTCGTTGATTGTCTATGGTAGTCACTACACGCACAACCCGAATCCGTTTATGGATTTGGCGAGCCTGCACAAAATGATGTTAGTGTTCTAATTAACTAATCAATCGGCGGAAGAGCCCTGGGCAAGAAAATGATTAGATGTTTCTTGTTGTACTTTGATGCTAACAAGGACTATGCATTTTTTGCGGATCCAAACTACAGTTCATCTTTTAGTCCAATAATGAAAAGGTAGGCAGGCCAAAAGCTCGGTTGGAAAAGCCAACAACAGAAACTATTGCTATCTAAGCCATGGTTATTCATAAATGACAAAAAAAAACATTTCCGCCCTCTACCGATGCCCAGAATCTAGGGTAATGCAGCTGAAGATAGTGTGATAGGAAGCACCACCAATGACAAAGATAACAACACGACACATACAAACACAGAGAAAATGAAGCGTGTAATTTAAATCTGTTATGAGCCTATTTTTGTAGTTAGAACATTATTTTTGTTAATGAGGTTAAATAAGATTACGGAGCTCATTGAACATTACGGCAATATTACAATTACAATTGTACCATATATAGATTGTTTTTACTATATTAAATTATAGGTTACCATTAATTAATATTGTAATTGATTGCTACCATACTTAATGGTGATTTTGGTTCTATATAAAGAGAACTGTTATGAGCCTATTTTTGTAGTTAGAACATTATTTTTGTTAATGAGGTTAAATAAGATTACGGAGCTCATTGAACATTACGGAAATATTACAATTACAATTGTACCATATATAGATTGTTTTTACTATATTAAATTATAGGTTACCATTAATTAATATTGTAATTGATTGCTACCATACTTAATGGTGATTTTGGTTCTATATAAAGAGAGAACCTCTCATATCAAGGGGCATCGAGTCTTGTTGATATATTTGACATAGTATCAAAGCCTCTTTCTTAGAATCGTAGTTATTAAAACCGGACTGAATCGGACGGTCCGGCCTGAAAACCAGCAAACTGGATTATTATCCAGTCAGTTTACTATAATTTGTATATTTAGCCAGTCAAAGATTGGTTGAACCTCATAACACCATGGCCGGACTGGACGAGTTTTGATGAACTGAAACCGGTTCAAGGATGAACTGGTTTATGGTAGAGTCAAGTGCAAATTTTTTATTCAATATGCAAAGGTAGAGATTTGAACCTTGACATTTGAAGTGAAATATTACATCCTTGACCATTATGGTAACTTCTGAACTTGTGTCATAACTCATAATAGTGAACTAATACATATATATTTTATATTTAGAAAAATTGTTCTCTTTTCTTTTAAAAAATATTTTTTAATAAAAATTATGACATAACAATGACCCACCGATTGAATCACTAACCCATCGGTTGAACCACGACCCGGTGACTCAATGATTTTTGTGGGTCAATGAATGGGTCGGGTCTGATAAATATGCTTAGAATTCTCTCGCTTTCTTGGTTGGGTTTTCTCACGGATCCTCCCATCCAGTCTTTTTCCTCGAAAAGAATTTGTTTTTTTAAGCTAAGTAATAATCTACGTTTCTGTGCAACATTCACTGCTCGATGCCAACGACGCCAGATCTTGGTAGGAGCAAACATGCGACCCCACGACACGCTTCCAAAGGCACCCTGTCCAGCACGGTGAGTACCACCACCAGGAACATGGGGGATACGTGACAAGGCACGGCCAATGCCCCATGACTCAGCTGAGGTTCGGTGGCCAACGTGCTTGGATATGGCGTAAGGCTAACGGGCATTCTTGGAGTTTTGACCGTGAATAAATGTCACTATATCCGGGCGGATTGATGCCTTCATCAAATCAAATTTTATTGAAAATGTTTTACTCAGGTTTTGTCTTTTAGTCTTCAGTTATTGAGGCATCTGCAATTAGACAATTCATCATCTTGTGGTGGTCGAACATATATTGTGGTTCTGTCGTCGGGAGGGAGTAGCAACAATTGGGTGTTGGTAGACGTTGAGTATGGGCATTGGCGGGAGGTGGACGATGATCGGATTTATAGATTGAACGGCTTTATGATGTGGATCTGTTGATTTTATGGGTGCAAGACGATGAGAAGCAACGGTAGTGTCCAAGAAGATGAAGTGTTGGCTGCTTCTGTTTAGTTAGCCTATTTGTTGGGCCATTGATGGGCTGACCTTTACTTTGTAGCTATCCATTAGGGCTTAATTTAGATATTTTGGGCTTGCTATTTAGTGTGGGCTGCTTTGTGTGTTGGAATTGTAATAATTCTTTGGGATTTGTTAATTTGATAGGTTAATAAGGTGATTTAATTGGGCCAAGATTTTGTCTCCTCCACCATTGGTCTGCTACTAGCAAACCATATTAATTGGGCCATGATAATTTCCTCATTAATTAGGTTTTGTTGGGCACTTAATTTTAGTTGGGCTGTTTATAATCTTGTCTGTTGGGGTGATTATTATTTTTGGAGTTACCACGTCAAGGGATTGAGCTGGATAAAAGGTGTTAGGGCTGCTTTATATGCATTGTTAGCTTTTATATTTATGGTTTAGAGTTTTGGGCCGATATTTAGTGTTTGTTGGTATCTGTATATGGGCTGGTTAGTTTGGGTAATGGGTATACGAGTTTTCTGTGTAATGGTTTACCAGATGGTTTGTTATATGTCATGAGACCGAGTTCTTTCGACAGATAGAGCTCACTGTGTGTATCGACACACTTTGTGAATTTTCTTTGAAAATTTTTCTTAGGGTGTGAGTTCTCTTGAATGTCTTTGGAGTATACTTGGAGTGGATTTGAAGTAGTTTTTGGTTGTTTCTACACTATTTGTTATTCTTGATCTCTCGTCATCAATAATTTTTGTAGATAGTTGCTTTGATTTAGATTTCTTCTTCGCGGACATAAGTATTGTCACCGTCGCCAGTTTATGATTGCAAATTGATACTTTTACTAGCATCAATTTGAGGGGATGTTAATAAG